GTTTCAAAGATGTAAGAGACAAACACAAAGGTTGAACAAAGGTGAGATGAATACTGTGAAATAGTCGAATATGGCATAGAGTGGGGTGATAGTAGTTTGAAGTGAGAAGTCAACTGCCAGTTAATAGACTTTTTTGCCGTATGAGTATACGTTGCCCAGGGTGCACCACGTGGAGGTAAGTCAATCGCACACCCCGGAAATTAAACCAAATGTCCGCTATATATTTCTTCAGTAGTCCTATTCACTTTTGTAGTGAACTTACTTTAGACGGTAAGTTAACAAACATTTGGAGTCAGACCGATCTTACATAAGGACTAATCGAATCTAACGAACTTTCCAGATTACAAAAATCGGCAGTTGGGTGTAAGTGCATTTCAATTGGACAATTGGGATGGTTAGGAAAGAGGAAGACGCCAGTGAGAAATGGCCTACATAGTCTTCACTGCGAACAGGCCCTTTGTGAGTCATTTTGAGATTTAATAGTGCCATGTGTGTAACTCTGAGTTCTCATATACGTACTATGGATTTCCTCAATTATATTTTGTGCCGATGCAAATCTCTTCTTTAAATATTTAATTTTGGCATAGTGATTGCTTGCAAGTCATAATAACTGATCTTACCAATTGTCTCTTGCGTTATTGTGTCACAGATTAATCCACATGATCACGATTGTATCTCACTTTTAATATGCCAAGTATAATTTAAACGCTAGTGGTCACGAAAGCGCGTCCAAAGCGAAAATGATATTTTAAAAGTGGGAATTAAATTTTTAAAAGTCTGAGCACTGCGTATATTAATTCACTCAAAGACTCAATGAATATTATTTATTTATTTATATCAAATGGCAGGTGTTTTGATAGTTATCATTAGCCCTGGAGCTGACTTCGGGGCTTCACAGAGAGAAGAGGGAAAATCAAAGTGAGAAATAATCGAGAGGGGGAACAGAAGAGCGATTCACAGATGTGAAAGAGACAGACAGACAGACACAAAGGCATAAAAAGGTAAGATGAGCACTGTGTAAAGGGTCGAATATGACATACAGTGGGGTGATGGTAGTTTGAAGTGAGAAGTCAACTGCCAGTTAATAGACTTTTTTGCCGTATGAGCATACGTTGCCCATAGTGCACCACGTGGAGGTAAGTCTATTGCACAGCCCCTAATAAGAAAAATAATTCTTGGCTAATCGAATATTTGGCAGTTAGTGACTTCGACAAGCCCTTTTGGTTTATCAAGCGGCTTTAAGTAGATAATAACCTATCGCTTTGTGATGATCGGTAAAAATCGATTATGATTAGGAATACACATCATCCAGTCTCAATGTGTTTTAATTTGAAAAAATTTAAGCGTTAAAGCTTCTAACATGAAATGCAAATAAGATATGGTTCAGTATTTATACATGTGTAGACTTCTTAAGAAGATATGGCCTTGAAATCCTATAATCATATTTATTTATGGACAACAGATTATCAGGAATATCAACTAAAGTTGATTAAAATAAAGTCCAAGAAATAATAATAAGATGGAAGGAACAGTAGAGATGTTTGATGTAACCTCAAGGCATCTAAAGGTGACACTTCAATTGAATTTTGAAATTGAGTTATAATCTTCTTGGGAAGTGGATATTTCATGCTTCCAACTTCGAATTAAAGGATTCGTTCTCAAGAAAACAGTGAGCACGTATTCGTGGTGCTCGGTGCCTATTGATGGTTTCATTATTAACAAGAAGGATCGGTGTTGCTGCTTCAGTTCACTTTTCTTCTAATAGTTGATGTGCAAAAGTGCTTTCTAGAGCGCAAAGGGGGGTATCTAAAGTTGATTAGTTTGAGGGCTTTGAAAACTACATTTACATAAGGGGAAATACCAGTCTATAATAGTAAATACGTCTTTCCATTTATACTCTCACCTCCAACGGAAAGAATGGAAGAATAGGAATGGAACAAAGAATGTAAAACTGAAGTCTGTGTAATGGGGTCAATTTGATGGGCGCGAGAAGCAAAATCAATAATCGATATATTGGTGTGCTTTGAGGCATAGGATGGGAGTGCAATGATTTAAATGTACTTTTAAATGACCTTGGTAAACTATAACTATATCTGGAGTGAGCGTTAGACTTCCTTTCACGTATACCAATACGAAAAATAGTCTATAGACCACTAGTTGACTTCTCACTTCAAACCATCATGCTCCGACTCAATGTCATATTCGACCACTTCTACAGTACTCACCTTACCTTTATATTTACCTTTGTGCCTGTCTCCTTTGCATCTGTGAATCACTCTTTTGTTCCTCCTCTTGGCTTTTTCGATCCTTCCCTCAGTGGAGTTAACTGAAGGGCTAATGGTAAAGACCATAAAGCCCGCCATTTGGTAAAAATAAATAATATGCATCTTTTCACTCTTTGACAAATCACGAATTGCTCATTTAGATCTTCACTTTAAAAGTGTAGTCTTGAGCACTTAATGAAACCTAAACTACAAATCATCACGCGAATCACAATATATATATCTTAGATGATATCAGTTCGTGTGAATAGTAATTTTATTGGCTATGACTTAAGGAAGAATTTGAGCCAATGTAATTCGATGACCAATCTGATTTTACTTAACGCACATAACGCAATTTAAATCACAAATCTCTCCGTTGAAATAAGGTGAATTTACTCTAACTTTCTATCAACTTTTTTCATCTGATCCACGAAGGGTGACTTTTATTGATAGTTTAATAAGCAGGCTAGCATTGACTGATTTTTTCCGCTTCTTTCTTTTATGAATAGCACGTGGTTACCGCTGGGAGGGGATGAAAGAAATCGATGCTGAAATAGATCGCATACTTAAAGCTTTGAGACATCATTCAAATTACCTCTTACGCCTTAAAGATGAGCGGAAGGATCAATTAGTCCTCAGTATGTACTATCCCCATCAAGCGATTCTCATTAAACTGAATATTCCCGTAAGTTCTAAGTTGCTTGAATTTCGATTTCTACTTAATTTAAATCTAGCAGGTCGAGAATAAGTTATTTTTACCAATTTTTTGCAGGAGGGGTACCCAACAGTGCCTCCTACTCGGGAGTTGGACAATGGGAATTTTGTTATTCATAACTTTGAAGATGCCTTGGGAGTTGTGCCCAAAACGGATTTAACTGTGACAAGATTATTTCTGAGAATTGTACACAATTTAAGCAAGTGCTTTAAAACCCAAATTCCTCCTCTCATGAGAGCTCTTGATCCGAATTTTATCAAAGAATTAGTAAGATTCCTAGCTTTTTTAAATACACTCAACATTTAAGTAGGAAAGTAATTCTCTTCCTTGTTTTAGGATGATCAAAATTAGACATTTCAGGGATCGGTATTTCTGTAGTTCATCTTTAGCATATTATTATCAATACAATTTTTCAGTTAACGTGTGACTTGTGTTCTGTCAGCTACTCCGGTTGCAATTCTTCCTGCGCGGTAATGCCAAATAAGCAACACTTACCGGCTACTCATAATTATCAGTAGGATTTAATAATTGCTCCATCCCTTTCATTATGGCATTAACTATTTGTAGACTGTGCCAGTTTAACCTATGTCAGGGTAGTTTATTTAGGCAATGGCAATAAATAGCTGATGAATTCCATTTTCTAGCTGTATGGATCCTTTCTATCGGGTTCCGGGGTTATGAGTAAAGCCTAATCGATTAGCCAAGCAGCGTTAGTGAGGGAATATGGGAGCCAGGTTTAGTCATGGGAAGAAAAGGTAGACTTGAGAGTCCACAAACAGAAGGAAATAAGTTTGGAAAATCATTCAAGTAGAGTAAGAGAGGATCCGAATGGCGTAGATGTTACGCCTTGTCATCGTAGCATTCTATCATGTTATTAGTCAAGTTAGTATTAGTAACCAGCTGATCTGAATAAATAATAAAATTCATTCTACTAGCTTAAAACTCAAAAAAATTTGATGTCGAGTTCCTAAAGGTGGACATTTTTGGGGAAGAATTAAGTGGGCAAATAAAAATTAGGGTCGCCTAATGATTTAAGAAAATATATGATATACTTCTTCTGTTCTAACTACTTTCCATCTATCAACTCTCTGTTGCTCCACTACTTGATGCTTTTCCCCACATATCAATTATTATAGCAATAAGTATAATTAACTTTAAATTACTAAATTATTTTAACAGTCATTTGAATCTGTGTTTGTTTCCAATTTCCCTAACCAACTGGACTTGGACTCGATTAACATATCTTATCCTTGCAGGCTTTATGATATTTATTCTTATCCCTTAAACTTTGACTTCAGCTTTCCTCAAATTGAATTCAAACGCCGAGTAATAGACTTTTTTGCCGTATGAATATACGTTGTCTAGGGTGCACCATGTATAACACATTCGACCTTGTTTTAAGGCGGTCTCTCAGGAGACTCTTCGTATTTTGAACTGTTGGCGACCAATTTCTGTCCCGATGAGCTAGATACTCACTGGATAATTCCCGTGTTACCACCGAACCAGATATAGTTGGGGAAATCAGAAGACCAGTTACTCTAGGACAATAAAGTGCTTAAACAGCCCCTCCAAAATAGGGCTAATAGTCCCCTTTCAGAACTAATAATCTTCCAAAACCCTAACGGGATATAACAGACTTCCCAAAATGGGACATATATGTGGAATTTAAATTATAACTGATAGTTAAAAGCCGAATACTGTAGACAAGCATTTACTGAAATCTTGTTGACGAATCCGTAAATGTGAATTTTGGAATTCGACCTGGCATTTAGAAAAGAATTTATAGCTAAATTTCAACTGCAGTGGAGTCCACAACGGTTGAACAAAGAAACCTCAAGCATATTCGAATAGCCTCGAAGGTGCTGTGTACTACTGATTTCGTTGTAGGGAAGTGCGTCGTGCCTCCAATGACCCTTCAGCCAATCAGCTATCAGCAATAGCTGCACTGTATCGTTGCACTATATATATTTTAATTACAAAGCTCTGTGGTAGCGGGCTATAAGTAGGTTAACCGCTACTCACTCCATGCATTCTGTTTCCCTCAGGACTGTTGAGGTAGCTTAGCCATCTTTTTCCAAGGGAATTGCGCAATTGAGGATTGTTGAAGTTTTGTTAAGGCTAAATTGTGTGAGCATCTGCCACAGTACTTTAGCAGTGATCTCAACGTCTATTTTATTACCATTTGAACTTTCCTCCAACCCATTTCATTGGCTTCTCAAAGTTCCAGAAATGATTTCCTTTATAGCATTGTGAGTATTAAAAACCAATCTGTGAACTTTACCTATGAATATGCTCAGAAACAGTCCATCTATCGCCCAATAATGAAGTCCAATTCACTCCGATTTAGTCAGTAGTCTTGAAGTGTTTTATCAACGCACTTTACCTGAACAATATACTTTCTCTCTCTCACATCTATTGTGCTATACATCGTGAAATTGAGCAATACTCAAACGTCAACCTCAGATAAATGCGACACCGTCAGGTGCCTATGTATTACTGACTTCAGCTGAGGTAGCTCTTAGCAGTTGTAAGATCGATTTTCCTCTAGTAATCACTAGATCATAATTTGAAGCGGAGAGGTAACCTAATACCCCTATCGGACCGTACCTCAAAAATCCTCAATGAACTTCAGTACATCGGTCGCCTTTTTAGGAGAAAGTAAGTTTTTGTTTGACTGTAAATGATTTTCGTAACTGCTCCAGATTTGGTGACCATAACGCAATAAGAGGGAAAAATGTTCCTTCTCAGTGTATGGTGAAAAGTCAAAAGGAAATGTTTATACATGTTCTACGTTACTTTGCCATTTTCGTTTGAACAAGCCTACCAGCTGCTATGACGTGGATAATTAATACATATGAATAAATCATAGGACATATTTAACAAATTACCTCCTGGTTATATTAGTTTTGAATGCTCCCTTACCATCGAATTTCCTTGTTACTAACCACATGACAATACATTTGAAGCGGATTGCTATGCTAATAAGCCTTGATTGATGCTCAACAGATTCTCCACATTTGGAAAGGCTTCCTTAGTTAGCTAAACCACATTAGGAATGTGGGGTGCGCGATAGACTTACCTCCACGTGGTGCACCCTGGGCAACGTATACCCATACGGCAAAAAAAGTCTATTAACTGGCAGTTGACTTCTGACTTTAAACTACCATGACCCCACTGTATGTCGTATTCGACCGCTTTCACAGTACTCATCTTACCTTTTCTCTGCTCTTATGTCTGTCAGTCTGTCTCTGTCACATCTGTGACTCATTATTCTTCCCCCCCCCCCTCTCGCCTGAAGTCAGGTAAATGGCTAATGATAACTATCAAAACGCCTGCCATTTGAAGCAAGTAAGTACATTAGCAATGTAGGGGTAAAAGACATGTGACGTGGAATACGGTTTCTTGGGGTTTGTGTTGGTGACAAGAAATTTAGCAGTTAGATGCAGTTTGTTTGTTGATTGGCTGTGAGGTCCTTGCACTCGGGACCTCATTCGATCCCCAGTGAGACCAACATCACAACTGCAGGTTCCAGAATGTGAAGAAGTCTTTGATTCAGTCATGTTAGTGTTGTGCCCCCAACACATTGCAGAAAAGTCTTAGTGAAGTCAATTTCTCCAAGATGTTTTATTAGTAAGCAGAATTCAATTCCATGTTTCGGAAATTGAACGTACTTTTTCCCATTAAAACAAAAGTTTGAGCAAAGATTTCTTGAGGTACCCATACAGATAGTACTATATCTAACAACATGCTAATAAATAAATAAATGTCCCTATATGCATTGACTTATAATTAATGAGCTTTAACGGTTCTGGTACAGTTATTTTAACTACCAAATAAAATCAAAGTATGACATATGTTCTTTTCCGATTTTAACTAGCCGTTCATTCAAATATGTAGCGGTTTGCTACGCTAGTAAAGCCTGACTGACTCAGAAATCTGTGGCAGATTCTCCTACATCTAGCTAGACTCCCAGAACCAGCTAAGCTCTAGCCCAGCTATGAAAGGAAACAGACGTGTAGCACGGAGCACGTTTACTCAGTACGGATATTGCGGATCAAGTGTACACGCAGGGAGCTTAATAATGATAAGGATGGCGGATTAGGTTAAACAAACAGAGGTTAATGATTGGTCCCTGTTAGTACGATCGCACCTCCCAATCCCGGCGTGCAGGCCTGGGATGACGTGTCCCATAAATATAGCAAATGTTTTTTGTAATTTAAACAACCGCATAAATAGTTGTAAATGAAGAAATAGAAAAACTAGTTTGCATGTGTTTATGGTTTTAATAGGGTTAAAACGAGTTTGGAAATTATTTAAATACAAATAAATTTAAATACCTGACCAGAGGGGTAATTACTTAAAACTAAGGGACAGACGCTTCTGTAATATATTAACGTCTGTCCTGCTTGTTCTATCATTTTAAAAATGGAGAAGTTTTCTATTTCAATCTAGACAATAACTTTCATAACTATTGAAGGAACAAACTGGCAAACACACGTTGCTAATAGAGGTTATAGTGCGTGCTTACTCTATCTATTGAGCACCCATTGGTTCATACCTCTACTCTAAGTGTTAATGGACAAAGAGTATGAAATCGGTAGATCCCCATTATCGTACATCGCTTCGCCTGTTCCTCATAATTTGGATTGTTCTCTCTCAGTTCTGAATTCACCATCTTTCTTCTCAATACCTCATTTTACTCCACACTCCTCTTCTCTATCTCTCCCCCCCTTTCATTCAATTAGCCCTCTTCAATTTGTTCAATTCTGTTCTTGGCCTTCTCTCTCGTTAATGTCTATTGTTCCCTTTCATGAATTAGGAGAAAATTCAATTCTAGAAGGGGATTTTAGCCATTTTATAAGATAGCGTCACTTAGAAATAGAGTCAAAAGGTGTTCTTCAGATAAATAACTTTTATTCTGCAGCAGTGGCATTCTAAGTAGGAGAACATCTAGATCGATACGAAACGGTATTTAACAAGCATTTCAACTTGGTTCTTAGAACACGCAATGATTTCAAATCAGATTTACGAATGAAAAGAAAATATTCGATATTGAAATCATCTCCATAATTAAGACAAGGGAAATCAAGACTGCGACAAATGAACATCACTTCTTCCATGTATCGATTAGCGAACTCTCCATTATAAAAGCAGTTAGGTCTAAGGAATCCAGGTAAGCTTATAGCACAGAAAGCAGCGTTTTAGAAAATCGGACCTGGTTACTCAAATTACTAATGACCGTGTCGCGCAAACAGTGTGATTGCCATAATAGGCGGCTCCATCATCACTGACATAATTTAAAACTTCATTTCTGGGTGCATACCACGAGTTCAACTTTATAATTCATTTCC